AACCCCCCTGAGAGCTGCCCAGGTACCTCCTTTGGCTGGCAAGCGCCCCCGTCTCTCGGGAAAGCAGAGCGGTTTCAGATCAAGGGTAAAGCGTTCCAGCCGGGGCAGGGACACACACAGCCGACGGAGTTGGGGGCAAAGGGGGCAGTTGCCCTAAGGGCCGACCATCCAAAGGTGCTCCAGTCTGCCACCACTGCTGTGACAGAAGCGGCAGCAGCTGGAGCCCCCACCCCTTTAAATCGCTGCCGGAACGGGCAATGTTGAAGGCTGGCTGCTCCCAACCCTGCCCCTTCTGCCTGAAGCCCCACCCCCCCTGCCGGTGGCTCCGCCCCTTCTGGGAACATGGAGCCACCCCACCACTTTGGTCAGGGGCCCGGCAAGTCTGTCGACCTCCCTAACCTATCCAGGGTGTTCGCTAGCTCAGCCAAAGGAGCTCCTGAAAACGCGGCTCGCATCGGCCTGTGCTGACCCCAAGCCCCTCTCCCGGGCTCTTAGGGACTCCGCTAGCGGGTCAGCACCTTGAAGAACTGGAAGGTGGAGGAACTTTCCACAGTCCCAAACTCGAGCTCTCTCTGCTTCACGAGGTCTTCGAACGTCTGGATGGCGAGCGGCTCGTCCCCAGTGCGCAGCAAGGCGGTGAAGTTGGCAATGTAGGCCGCCAGCAGAGAGATGGTGAACACCCACCAGATGGCTGCGATTATTCGCCCGGAGAGGGCTTTGGGATGAGGCGCTGCACCTGTGGAGAGCCAAGGCAGCCGCGCCGTTAGGCGCTCAACGCGCAGAAGGGCCCAGGGCAGCGCCTACGTTTGCACGGGTATTCCAAGGGCCGCGGGTCGCGCGACAACGAGCGCGTCTCTGGTCAGCGACGCAAGACGCCGGCCCACCGGAGCACACGAGCCCTGCAACGCGACGCTGCGTCAGCCAGACTCTCGCCCGCGGTGGGGAATCTGTGCCGATGACCAACCGCAAAGGGGAATTTGCCACCCGCGGAGCACGCACACAGGTGTTTGTACCGGAACGTCCCTCACAGGAAGCCAGACTTCCCCCCCCTCTTGGGCACTTATGAGGAGAGATTCTTAAGATGCTGGCCGTCGACAGAGCCCTGTGGATGGCAGGTCCCATGGGCAGCGTTAGCTGCTGGATTCCCTGCTTAGACGGCATGCTCAATAAAACGCAGCTAGGCAGGGCACTCTAGAGCCTTTCCACCCCGAGGGACGTGGGCTGAAATGGTCCGGTCGGCTCCCTGACAGCCGGTGGGCGAGCTGGTCTCTCCCCGAGGCCCAGTGGGGTCCTACCTTGCAAGGTCAGAGCACCTGCTCCAAACCAGAGGCTGTTCAGAAAGGTGAAGCGGTTCTCCTCACTCGTGGGCTCCTTCCATTCACAGGGGCTCAGTCTAGGGAAAGCAACTCCGTGTCACGACGTCAGCAGGGCTGGGGTTTTGCTGTGCCCCGATTCAGAGGGAGCGCGTTCCTGCGGGGAGCTGCCTCTGAGGAGACCAGCGGATGCTGCCCTCCCGCTGGGGCGTGACAGAGCTAGGAAGCCTGGGGACGCGCCTCGTTCTCCCCACCTGCCCACGATGGCAGCCAGCTGGAAGGAACAACCGCGGGGGGGGACGCGACGTCGGGCCCTTCGGGGGAAGGGGGGTGGCACTGAAGGGAAAGGGCTGATACAAAGCGACGGGAGGGGCCCCAGCACATGGAGCACAGTCAGCCCTGGTGGGGGGGTGTCACCCAGAGGGGGAGGGGGAATGTGGGGGCCCCCATTTACAATTACAGTTTTGGTGGCTGCGCAGGGTGGCGGAGCATCTCCGGAGCGCTACCACAAGACCCCTCTGCCTGGGGACTGGGGGGGCAGGGAGCGGGCTGTGCACGGACGCTGGCAGATGTGCGTTGACCCCAGGGGGTGTAGCTCTCCAGCCCAGGCTACACAGCCTCAAGGAAGAGCGACATCCATGCGGCAAGTTCCAAGTGAGGGAGGCAGGAGGAGGAACAACCCGAGGCCTCTGGCGCCAGAGAGGCCTCGCTCGCGGCAGGTAGGACGGGCCGTACGCATCCTCAACTCGACTGCAGTGGGGAGCCCAGCCCCCGCCCCATGCACACGGCGCTGCCCTCGCCGGCGGGTGGCTGGGTCTGCGACTCCGCGGCTCCCGCAGCGAACCCCCAGCGCACGGGATGCAAAGCAGCTGCTGCGCTTCTCGCCTGAGGCTGCACCGGGGCTCCATGGCAGCCGGCTCGCAGGTGGGGACTGAAGTCCTTCCTTTCCCCCGACATGCCCGGATACTGCTGCTCAGCGGGGGACGGGAGGGGAGAGAATTTCACCCACAGAAGCACCCGGAGATGCAACGCAGCAGGAGTTGAGCCTTAGATACAACTACGGCCAGATTTTAGGAGAGAAATTAATGGAGAAGAAGGTGAAACCATGGGGCTAAAATGATGTTTAAATCAGCAACGGGCGACTCAAGCTAGTGAGTGGGCCTCCTTCGTCTCCGTGGGCTGCAAGATTGACATCACCAAGACAGTCTCCCGGGACAGGGTAGTTTTGCTCGCTGTGCTTGCGAGCCTAGAATTAGCAGGGCGTGCTGACTGAACCTGCGCTTTCATTGGTCTCGCAGTCAACGTGCTGTGCAATTCACACACCCCTCGCGTCACGTGAGGGACGTTATGTCGGTTCCACAGGCGACCGTGCGCCTGCTGAAGATCTCAGTGGGTACACGCAGTGCGCTCTGCAGTCTAACGCTTATTTAAAGTATCAAGCGTTAAGCTTGAATAAGGTTTATACCACCGAGCCCACAGCGAAGCCTCCGGGAGCCGGCTGAGTGTAGCCGGCACCATTAACCGACAGGCAGCGTATCGGGTACACCGTTAGGCGGTTGCACTCCAACATCCCTGCTTCACACGCCCGTTGCTTTCGGTGCGTGTCACTAGCAACACCGGCAGGAAAAAAATCTACGTGGAAGGAAACCATCGGAACCAGGCAACTTCAAGCCCGGGAAGTAGTAAATACAATGTCTCGCGGGCCGCACGTAGACCCCGATGGGCGGCAGGTTGCCCAGCCCTGGTTTGAATGGCCCACGCAAAGCGCCTGACCGTGTTAGAGACGTGCTGCACTGTGCCTAGCGAGAGGGGAAGAGACTCTGATGTTGCCGTGGTCTCTGGCGTTCTATGAGCCTCCTAGAGAGGCGTTAGGGGCTGCGCTGTAGCCCAGCGAGCGGCTCTGAGGGGTGCAGGGGCTGTGGCTAGCCTGCTCGGGGGCTGGGGAAAACAGAGGGCCCCGAGAAGGCCACACACACTGTACAGCACCCCGGATGCCTCTTTACCTGGCCGCAAGGAACAGGCAGAGGCAGGTCAGCAGGTAAGCCACCAGCAGGCCGGCCCAGGTCTCCTTGCTGAAGGGAGCGAGGAAGCCGAAGAACGAGGTGTCCTGGGAGGCGGCGTCTCTCCTGAACAGGATCCCGATCCCCGTGGACAGGAACGGCGTGGTGAAGGAAACCACCTCCTCCCTCGCTGACGTGATGGTCAAGGGGGCCACTGCGAGGTCTGCTTCCTGCAGGGCAAGCCGGGGCGCCTCAGCAACGCGGGGGGGCGGGCCGCGAGCTGGAGGCTCCTCCGTTCCCAGGGCCGCAGGAGAAAGCACGTCGTGGTGCCTCGTCGCAGCCTCCTGTTTGCCATTCTGGCCACCTCCCCCGCCGTGGAGACCCCGTCGACCACCCCCATTTCGGGAGGAGCCAGGGCCAGGAGAGGCGCTTACTTGCCTCGTGCCACCAGGTGGCAGCAAAGGACAGGACAAGGTGCCCATTCCAACGAGTCGGTAAGCAGTTGACTTCAGGCTGGTCTACACTGCTACTTCCCTGCGCTGTAACTTTCTCGCTCAGGGGTGTAAACCCCCACACCACACCCCCCGAGTGCAGCAAGTGACAGCGCTCCAAAGCGCTGGTGTAAACAGGATCCCAGCGCTGGTGCCATGACCACCCTGCCGCAGCTGCGCTTTTAATCTAGCAGTGTAGACAAAACCATAGCTGGGTTCGCCAAGGGGCCTGTTTTCTCTCTCCCACCCACAGATGTACCTGCAAGGGCACAAACTTGGGCTGGCCCTTAATTTCTGGAACCAGCCCTGCCACGTATCCAGACAGACCCGTGGACATTGCAAGACGGGATGTGTGCAGCAAACACACCCTTGGGGAGCCGCTGCTGTGTTCAAGAGTTTTTAAAAGTTACCCAGGTGGGTCCTAGCAAATCAGAGAGACAAGGTGGGTGGGGTCAGAGCTTTTACTGGGCAGATTTCTGTCGGTGAAGAAGACAAGCTCTGGAGCTAATTTGGTCATTCTGTGGGCCGTGAAAGCTTGTCTCCCTCACCAACAGAAGCTGGTCCAATAAAACCTGTTACCTCACCTACCTTGCATCTTTGAATGTTGGCAAGTGCACTCAACCCAGCCTCTAAGGGGTTTTCATCAGTTTCCTTCTGACTCCGCAATCCCCACTAACAAAGACTCCGTCTCGGGTGCATTTCAGCCAGCACTTTGGCTTTCAGACTGTTTCCTTTATCTTGAGCATCCTAAAGCGAGTGGAACATTGCAGCTTCATGGGGATTACCGAGAGGCACTGGACTGCAACCTAGAGGCAGCACACCCTGTGGGTCGGAGCACCACCCAGCGAGCCAGGCAGTCCTCTTTCTATTCCCAGAGTCCTCAATGGCCTCAGTTTTCCTATCTGTCAAATGGGGATAATGCTACAGCTGGCCAAGTGCTGTGTGAAAAGGAGATGCGCCTGGCACTCTGATTGTTGGTATGGAGGTGAAGTGGGCAGTGGAGCTGCTCTCTCCTGTTCTCAGGGAAACCAGAATCCCTTGCAGGGGCAGCACGGGTCTGTCACAGCCAGCAACCCCCCCTGCACAAGATGCTGTTCAAAGAGCCACTGCCATAGTTGTTTCCACCTGGGGACGTCCCAAGGAAACTCACCTGTCTGACAATCTCGCCGACCATCCCGGTCCAGTTCCCATCGGCGGAGACAGCCCCGTAGCGGCCGTCTTTCACTTGCGTCACCTTGTAGTTGAAGTGCAGCATCTTGGAGAGCGCGTCCAGCAGATCCAGGCAGTACCCCTCCAGCTCTGTGCCTCTCGCCATCGCGTAGGGGTCTTGCTGCACCAGAGGGGGGAGGTTTGAAACCGGCCTGTTCCACCATCCCCCACCAGTGAGATCCCGCCCCGTTTCGGCACCCTCCGCCCGCCTCTGCCTGGCAAAGGGCTGTGCCCCACATTGGCAGATGCAAAGTCTGTTGCTAGAACACGGGATTTAGCTGTGGGGCATCCCACCCCCCGCCCCCGAGGCTCCCCCACGCCCCTTCTGGCTGGTAAGAGCCATTAGCCATCACTCATTCCTCCAAGGGAAATGCTGAGTTCGTAACCAGCCCCTGTATTCTCACAGCTGGGCAGCCTTATTTTTGACCCCTTAGGGTTGTATTGGCTTGTCACATGGGCTATGTCTACACTGCAGGCTTTCTGCGCAAGAAGCTTTTGTCGGAAGAGATCTACCACAAATACTTCTTGTGCAAGAGCGCGTCCACGCTGCAAAAGCGCACGGAAAAAGCGATGGGCTTTTGCGAACAAGAGCGTCCAGACTGCATGGACACTCTCGCAAGGAGCAGTGATTGCTAAGGACGGAGAGGCCACCTGTGCCCTCTTCTTGCGCAAAAAAACCCTCTTCCCTCTCCACACACGCCTTTTTGCGAAAGAGCTCTTGCACAAAAAGGCTTCTCCCTCGTCGGGTGAGGATTACCGATGGCGCGAAAACCCCTCCGATCTTTCGATTTACTTGCGCAAAAATGTGCTTGCAGGGTGGACGCGCCTCGAGTTTTTGAGGAAAAACTCTGTAGTGTAGACATAGCCATGGTCTGTTTCTTGCTTTTGATCCTCCCGGCAGGGCTGACCGACACGTCTGGGCCTGGCTACCGACTTCCGCGGCGGGGCACGAGCCACTTGCGCCGTGCTCGGCGGGCGTCAGCCACGCGTGGCTGGGAGAAGGCCCGGCTCTCCCCAGGGAACGTGTGTGAAAGAATCCCCCCCCCCCCCCGCTGATCCTTCGGTCCTTGAAGCCGCCAGTCACCTGTGCTAGCTGGTCCCTGAGTGCACTGTAGACAGGGAGGGGAGTCTGAACTCAAGACAGACCAAGCCCTGTGCGGGCCTAGGGTGGGGCGAAGGCCTAGCAGCACCGTGGCCTTACCAGGATCGTTGTGACCGTCAGCATCTGAGCGTCCGTTCCCCCTTGTCCTTCTGCATCGCCGCCCTGCAGGGCAAAGCGTTCGGGGTGAGCCACTGGAGCTCCACCTGAACCGCGGGGATTTCCAATGTGTATTGGACCTCGGGGCCTGGGTCCCGGGCAAGACCCCCACGGTGCAAGGCAAACCCGGAACACAAACGGTCCCTCTCCCTGGGCCTCACCAGCTGACTGGTGCCACGGAATTAACACGTCGGCTTTCAAGCTGCGGGATGCTCCAATTCCACCTTCCAGCCAGGCATCGAGCGCCGGGATTCAGTCACCTTCCTCACTGCAGTGAGTGAATCCCCCTTCGCTCGCTGTAACGGGGCAGCACGGGGTAGTGGATAGAGCCCTAGAATGGACTTCGCAGACCTGCACGCTATTCTCAGTGCTGCCACTGGCCTAGCAGGTGACCGTGGGCCACTCCGTGCCTCAGTTTCCCCACCTGTAAAGTGAAGCTCGCGATACTGCCCTCCTTCCTAAAGGGCTTTGAGATCTACCAATAAAAAGGCAGCATCACAGCCAGACACTGATCAACACGGGCCTGCAACGGGCTTGATACATACCCTCTCCTTCCAAAGATGGCAGTTTAATAGCATTAGCCCCTTGTGACAGATGGGGAAACTGAGGCACACAGTGGTGCCAAAGCCATTGGGCACTAAGCTGCTCCTTTCGAGGTGCTCGGCGTGGAGATGGAAGGAAGCCAGCTCCTGGCTGTGCTCTGCACCAGGACTTGGGGGGCGAATGCATTCCACAGGCATGTGTGACACGGCTCTGATAAAGGCAGATCCACACTGGGGCAGGCGGGTCCTGAGCGCCTGGTGGCATCAGAGCACCACCTGGCCTAGGGTTTGCAGCCAGGCACTTGCCGCATGGTTTTGCGGGAGCTCTGAAGGCCACGTCCTCCCATCTGCAGCCTCCCTGAAGTCGGAGCACCGGGGGCCCACATTTCATGTGTGGCCTGCACTCAGTGTCTACACTCACCAGGCTGGATTCCCAGTGGGTACAAGCCAGCACAAACCCACTGCGGTCAGCATAGCCACAGAGCTTTTCCCTCGCGGCAGAGCGCTCCCAGTGACAGGTCTCCCCCTCGTCTCCGTCGTCTGTCACTCGCTCCCCAACGGCAATTCACAAATCACTCCCGTGCATCTTGTGTTGCCAACATGTTTTACCCAAACAAAAATCACTTTCAATGTTGTCTCGCTTCTTAGAATACATGCCACATACACGGGCTTTCAAAACCGATCAATTTCCGTGGCTCACAAAACAGCTGGAAGCCAATTAAGGCCTCATTAGAGCGCATTTCCAGGAGGCACAGAACAGCAGGGAGCATTAGCTAAGCGGGAGGCATGGAATGCACAGAACGGGAAACGGTTTCTCGACGTTCATAAACCTCGCCTGGCCACCCTGTCAAAGTTTTCGGGCCAGAGCCAGACCTCTGCTAAAGCTTTTCTGAGCTCAGCCTGGAAACAGCCCAGAGTCTATAAGACGTGTTTGCGTCTCCTACTTTGCTGCCAAAAGAAAACCTAAGAGCTGCTATTTTTGCAGGAGGGCCAACAGGAAAAGGGGGCTCATCTCCCAGAGTGCTGAGCACCCCTGGAACGGAAAACGCTGAGCCCCTCCCAAGATCACTTCCTGAGTTGGGTGTCATCCGTCAGCAGCTATGTCTACACTAGGAAACTATTTAGAAATAACTAAAATCGATGTAATAACTCCCAAAACAAAATCAAAATAGCATGTCCTCACTATAGGGAGGCCTTGAAATGAGTCTGAGACAGGCTCCATTAATGTGGACACGCTACCCTGACTTAGAGCCCTAGGAAGCACTGGGGAATAAATAGTATGAATGCTCTGGGGCGCAGTTATTTTGAAATAGCTGCACCAGAGCGTCCACACTGCCACTATTTCAAAATCCCTATTCTGGAATTGGCGTTATTCCTCGAGGAAAGCAGGAGTACAGATTTCTGAGAGAGGCCTGTTATTTCAAAATAACGGGATCGGTAGTGTGGATGCTCTGCTTATTCATTTGACCTAAGGGGGGTTATTTTGAAATAGAGCCCTAGTGTAGACCAGGGCTAAGACCCGGGCAGGCCATGCTGACCCTGCCAGAGACAAGCGCTGTCAGACAAGCTGCAGTCTTTTCGGGGCCATTTAAAGAACACAGAACGAGAGGAAGGGACAAAAACTTGCCCATCAGGAAGTCACATGACCAGGGGAGGAAGTAAGCAATCCTGCAAGAAGTTAAAAGCCGGCACGGTGTTTTAATCAGCAACCCAGTGAATGGATCGATGTCTGTTCGCCGGCCTCCCTCTCAGAAGCAGAGTGGTCTAGTGGATAGAACACCTGCTCGGGAATTTAGGGCACATCTCTACTGCCAAAAAGGCCCCCCGGCAACGGACACGAGCGGGCAGGGCTCATGTTACAAGGCTAAAAATAGCAGAGCAGACATTTCTGCTGAAGTGGGTGCGAGGGCAAAACCCCCTCCCCTTGCTGGGCTGTGTAGCCGCCTCCAGCCAGAGTGGGAGCGTCCACACTGCTACGTTTAGCCCCCGAGCGCCAGCCCCCCCAGACGCAGACTCAGTGCCGCAAGGGGTTGTTTTGTGGGGTGTTGCTGTAACCTAGGAGAGCTGGGTCCTGCTCCCCGGCTCAGACCTACTGAGTGACCTGGGGTTAGTCACTTCCCCCTCCCTTTGTGTGTACAGCACCATGCACTGGAATCCTGCGCTGGGCATGGGCCTCCAGACACCACCTAATATCAATATGAGATAGGGTGTGTCTACCCGGCTGCCGGAGCTGAGTAGATCCAGCCGTGCTAGTTTGAATGTAGCCAGCAGGACTCAAACAGGAGAGAAGACATGGTGGTGGGAACGGGAGGGAGTATGTACCCCTGGTTCCAGGCACGCTCATGCAAACCTGAAGGGGGTCCCAAGGAGGATGGGGAGAGGCTGTTCTCAGTGGTGACGGATGGCAGAACAAGGAGAATGGTCTCAAGTTGCAGCGGGGGAGGTCTAGGTTGGATATTAGGAAAAGCCATTTCCCTAGGAGGGTGGGGAAGCGCTGGGATGGGTTCCCTAGGGAGGGGGTGGAATCTCCATCCCTGGAGGTTTTTAAGTCCCAGCTAGACAAAGCCCTGGCTGGGTGATTGAGTTGGGGTTGGTCCTGCTTTGGGCAGGGGGCTGGACTCGATGACTCCTGAGGTTTCTTCCAGCCCTAGGATTGTATGAAACCGTCATGTCTTCATGGCCGGGCTGAGCCTCGTTGGCTAGATCACAGCTCGGATGGGGATGCCCATCGGCACTGCTATCAGACCTGCAGCCTATTTCTGAGCAGGCTTGGTAGGATTAGATTTAATTAACAAATGTCCTTTAATTGCCTATTTCTTCCCTCATGCAAAAGCCTGAGGCACTGGCTCCCCTTCTCCCTGAATTATTGTGAATTGTCATTACTGGCAGTAAAAACGCGACCGGCGGGCTAAGAACAAGGGTTTTGTGCCTGTCTGGCTAAGAATGCTGCGTTCTATTTTGCTAAAACCACAGACTAGCAAGAGTGTGTTATGATCATCGGTGAGTTTATTTGTGAAGTGCCACTTCTACCGTCCTGAAATAATAATAGCTGAAGGTGGGTTTTTCCTTCAGGCTTAGCTGGCTTATTTTGATAAGGCAAACAAATAAAATCCATTTAAAAACACAGAGAGAAAAACAAATGTCATTAACCATGAACATTCATTACAAAAATGCATCCTTCCTGATCACATTTTCTGCACTGAACCCAGCATCCCCCTTTGGAGCGAAATAGGCCTTTTTGCATTAACATTCCCCTCTGCATAGTAACAAACGCCGACGTACCTTACTGACAGTGTTTCCAGTCTCGATTGCGCCTGCAAATACAAACGAGATAGTTTGGTGAGGGATATGCTGCAGGTTGAACCTCCCTAATCTGGCACTCTCTGGTCTGGCAACATCCACAGTCCAGCATGATTTCAGTTAGTCGCATGTCCATTTAGCCTGGGGGAGGCCAAGTTTCCCAAAGTCCCATAAAGTTTGTTTACAGCCCCCCTTCCCCATCCTGGCGTGCAGTGTTCTGGGCTGTTATTTTGCTCTAATTTGCCCCAAAATGTTTTCTCAGAGCCCAGCAAGCAGTGGAAGGGTTGGTAACGCCGCTAGACAATATTGACCTCCCGTAGTCCAGCAAATGCTCTGGTTCAGCACCCGCCAGGACTAGAAAGGTTCAAGCTGCACTAGGACGCTGCTTTTACAAGGCCATGATCATGTGTCATCGGGGGCATTTGATCCAGGAAATGACTCCCTGTGACTTGTGGGGACTTGGGGCGGTTTCAGGCTCAGAGTTTGGCTCGATGACACCTGCTGGGTTTATTCTGTTCATCCCACTGTTGGTGAGCAGCAAATACCCACCAATGCAGGGGCCACACGTATCCATCCCAGCTGCGCCGGGTACAGAAGACCCTAAATGTTCGCTCCAGGAAAGGTCGCCCAGGGATGTCACTAGCATCCTCACCGGGATCCCTGAAGCTGATTCATGGAGACACGTCCCTGGGCATTTTTTAATCATCTTCCCTATGACAAGTCTGCAAGGCAGGGGGGGGTTATTGTCAAAAAATCACATCAGAGCGAGACTCCCAGTGACTGCCCATGCAGCCGCTGGGACCCCACCACGTCCTGTTTCCGTCCCCTGGGAGAGCCCCTTGGCCCAGGCGTGGCACACGGGGCCCTCTTTGGAAAGTGAGTGAAATGAAGACAGGACCCCTGTGGTGACTGAGCAGAGAACAGACTCAGCCGGAGCTGCCGCCTCGCTGTGCCACCTTCCAGAGCACACAGAATGAAATGCCAGTTACTGCTGCAGGAGTTTTGAACAGTAGGGGACAGCATGGCCTAGTAGGCAGGGCACCAGACTTGACAGACCTGGGTTCACTTCTGGGTAATGCCTCTGGCCTGCAGGTTGATACTGGGCAAGTTGTTTCTGCTCCCTGTGCCTCAGTTTCCCCATCTGTGAAATGGAGCTAACAACCAGTGTTCTCTGTAAGCTGAGTGCTTGTGCAGCTGCTCAGGGGGGATTCCAATGCTGCCCAGCTGATTAGCAGAGAGCCCACAGCTAGGTTTTGTTTCTACTGGTGGTGCACATGCCTTGGTGCACATACATTTATTCCGCACCTGGATGGAAAGGGAACACTGATAACGACCCTGCCCTCCTTTGTGAAGAGCTTTGAGAAGCCAGGTGCACATTGTGGTTAGATCAGCACTTCTGGGTTCTACCCCCAGCTTGACCACGTGACCCTCAGCCTCTGCATAATTCCCACTAATCCCGATCACCTCTCTCCCCAGGGCTGCGGGGGCTACGTGGCAGTGCCTGGAGGTGCTGGACGAAAAGTCCAGCGCGTTGTTTACTCGCTGCCCAGAATCACTTTTCCACGGGAAAACGCAAGGCTGAGGCGAGAGACCCCGACCTGCCAGGCTGCGGAGAAAAACCCAGAGCAGAAGAATCCAGGGCACTTTCCAATGGAAGCAGCTGGGCTCTTTCATTTAACAAAGGTTCAGCAATTTTGCCTCTTCTGTTCTTAGGCTGAACTCTAGCTTGTTGTAGAACAAACCCGGCTTTCTCCGTCGCTGCCGCAGGGCTCCGGGGAGCTGGAACCGCCTCAAAGCAGCTCTCTTGTTCCAGAAGTGAGAGCCAGCGCGAGCCTTTGGGCTCCTTTGTGAAGTTTCTGGGAACTCGTGGAAGAAAACAAGCGTCCGAGGTGAAGTATTCAGCTCCCCTGCAGTGGCGCTGCATGGGGGCATCCAAAGCTTCATTGCGGGAGCGTATCCAGGTCTCATCGTGTGATAGGACCGTAAATAACAGAGGGGGCCAGCACTTGCTCAAAGGCAGCGACATTGGCACCCAACTCCACGGTCTGCCCTTCGTGAGATGCCAAGGACGCAGCGTAAAATAGAGGGTTAGAGGAAAACAGAGACAAACAGGTGATACGAGCCACCTGGACGTACAGCGACCACTGCTGGGGAAGGCTGAAGTGAGCAGGGGTGTGGAACCTATGCCTCACGGTCTGGATCCAGCCCCCAGCTAACTCTTACCCGGCCTGTGGTGAGGCTGTGCCCTGGGATAAGTCTCTAAGTCTGAGGCCACATCTTCACTATGTGGAAGATTGACACTGCCATGATCGATCTCCTGGAGTTTGATTTAGCCGGTCTAGTAAAGACCCACTAAATTGAACTCAGAGGGCACCTCCATCAGTGCCAGTATTCCTGCTCCTGGAGAGGAGTAAGGGAAGCTGACGGGAGGATTTGGTCCCATCGACCTCCCGCTGTGGAGCCTGTGTGGGAACTCTAACTACTTAATTAACATAGCTGGGGTTGAGTATCTTAATTCGACCTTCCGCTGTCGTGTACACCTGGCCTTAGTGACTTGGGCGGGAGCCCCAAAGTTGAGTGAAGTGGCTTTTTTGGGGGGGGGAGGGAGAGCGTCTCAGTTGGGAGCCAACTCAGTGAGGTTTCCGGTTTGTTGGGTTTATTTGCTTCTCACTTGTGTGTGGTGCCCGACTGATTTTTCTCTTGGTCACTGGCCCCAGACCAAAAAAAGGTCCCCTCTTGACGTAGGCGCTTGATCCATGCCCCTTCAACGGCAACTAGCTCTGCTCACAGGCCCAACCACCACAGCCATTTCCCGCACCTCAGACCAGGGCACGAGGCCCGGAATGAAACGCGGGTTCGGATTTCACAGGCCACCGAAGAGGGGAGACTCCTGGGCCTGAGCCCATGTTGAGGTTGTGGAGGAGAGGTGAGAAAAGCTTCCCCTGCCCCCACGGTCCCCTGGAATTCGAGCCTCTCAAAGCGGCAAGAAGGCACCTCAGGTCCCTCAGCAACAGACCTGAGAAGAGCAAGTCTCATCTTCTCAGGCCTTCCCCCGGCTGGCTGACGTGCCTTGATCAGAGCTGGGGGCTTGACCCCAATGTCCCACCCCCTCCCTGCTGGAATGAGTGTGTTACTGAAGAGAAGACTTGGAAGCCCCCGGGACAGGGCTGGGCACTAGGCAGCCCACAGGCCAGATGCAGGTTGCCAAGGTTATCCCCGGGAAGCCCATCGGTCACTTCATTTATCTGCATGTCTGCAGGTGCGGCTGCTAGCAGCTCCCATTGGCCACAGCTCACTGCTCCCAGCCAATGGGAGCTGCAGAAAGCAGTGCAAACCACCCTGCTTCCAGCAGCTCCCATTGGCCACAGGACACCGCTCCCAGCCAATGGGAGCTGCGGAAAGCAGCGCAAACCGGGACCCTGCTTCCAGCAGCTCCCATTGGCCAGGAACGGCGACCCATGGCCAATGGGAGCTGCAAGTAGCCAGACCCACAGAGACGCAGGTAAATAAAGACCCATCAGCCCGCTAAGCCTTCACTCTGGTGAACCACACCCGGCCACTTATTCCCACCTCCGACCTAGAAGTGGAAGGAACCTGAGCTGCTGGGCTGGGCCATCAGCTCCCCTGGCTCCCAGGGCGGAGGAGAACAAACGGACCCTTGGTGCTGAGGGGCAAACCTACCAGTTCCTCGCAGTGCCAAGCTGCTGCCAAGCTCTCCAGGCTGCCTCTGGATAGCACCGGGGAAGGCAGCATCAATTATTGGCTCAGGGCTCTTCTCAAACACCCGCCGGCCGCCCCTCAGGCAAACTGCATGCTGGGGAGGCCAGGCAGAGCAGCCGCTTGCAGTCTAACCCTTCCCTTCCCCCTGGCTCGACAATACCAGGGGCCCAGGGCAGGCCAAAGTGGGGACTGATGGGCCACAGGAGGCGTTAGCCACAGACACCGCTCTGAGGAAATGTGGCAAAACCCAGCCTCCCTCCCCAGTTCTCTCCAGCCAGAGTTTGTGTCCTGGCCCCTGCCACCACCCTACAATGGAAACAGGGCCAGGGACTTGGCCGCGTGTCTCCTAGCCTGGCGGGTTTCAAACTTTTTTTCTCATGACCCAGTGGAAGAAAATGGTTGCTGCCGCAACCCAACATCATGTGACTGGAGGGCAGGCTCCAGGGTGGGGGATAGCTCAGTGGTTTGCACATTGGCCTGCTAAACCCAGGGTTGTGAGTTCAATTCTTGCAGAGGCCATTTAAGGATTTGGGGCAAAAATTTGTCAGGGATGGTACTTGGTCCTGCTGTGAAGGCAGGGGACAGTTCTAGGACACAGGCAATCTCCATTATTAAATTATAGGAGGGGGCTCTGGCTTGGGGGAAGGTTGGTGCAGAAGCAGCCAGCAGCAGGTTTCCAGACAGTGGGCGTGCGGCGCTAGTGCTGGGGGCAGGGGCAGTGCGGGGAGCCCTACGTAGCAGCCTGACCTGCTGCTGACCACTTCTGGGGCCCAGCGCAGTCTGTGGTGCCAGGACAGGCAGGGAGCTGCCTTAGCCCCCCACTGCTCCTCTGATCCCCTGGCAGCACCGAGACCCAGGGCCCGTCATTCCCCCACGCAGTGCTGGGCCACAACCTAGTTTGAAAGCTGCTGTCCTAACCTGACGACAACTTGGCTGCACCTCTAGCCACGCTAAACCCTTGCACACACCAGAATACGCCACACAAGGGTGAGTCCCATGCGCTACCTTCAAGGAGGCAGCTGCGCAGGTCACCTCATCCCAGAGTAGGACGGGAACGTGTCTAGACCAGGGATGGGCAATCATTTTTGCAAGGGGGGTGGGCGGCACTTAATGAATTTTGCTACATGATCACCGGCCAGCTCCACCCCCGGAAGGGGCGGAGTCTGGGGTGGAAGGGGCGGGGCTACGGACTAGCCTCCCGCTAGCGTCGTCTGGGGCCGGAGGCTTTGAAGTAAAAACACAGCAAAGGGCTCGCAAGCTTCTGGCCCCGCTTCCACTGTATTGCCTAGCAACCGCCTGGGGTTGTGGCAGCTATTTAAAGGGCACATGGCTCCAGCCCCTGCTGGGGTAGCGCCACAACCAGGAGCCAGGAGCCATTTGAATAGGATCCTGCTGCCTGAGCCGCCACCTGGAAATCCAGTGGCACGGGCAGCGGGATATAAATAGAAAGTGGCCAGAGACGGTCCATGGGCCAGATCCAAGTGTTAGAGGGGCCGGATACGGCCCCTGGGCCGCATCTTGCCCAGCCCTGATCTAGATGGTCCCTAGCACTTTGGGGGAAGACTTTTCTCTCACCTGCCAGGCGCGATTCCCCCAGCAGCAGCTGGCCCAGGGACACATAGAACGCCAAGCGAAAAGCTTCCATCATCAGGGCGGAAGCAGCTGGTGCCCAGAGGGACCCCTGCTGGAGACAAAAGGCAGGTAGGTCAAGTCAGTTTCACAGTTCAGTCCAGCTGGGTAAGTGCCACAGTGTCCCGGAGGCTCTGTGTTTTTAAACAGCCCCCATTCAAAGGAGAGGTCTCCAGATGACAGTGCAGTGACTCCTGGGCCCCAGACATAACCAATACGCCCGTCTAGGCCAGTGTTCCCTATATGCTGAGCACTTGGGCATCCAACCAGGAGAGATTCAAATGTCACCCCGTTGATCAGGAGAGCACACACCGCCGGCAGCATGTGTTCTCTGGGTGGTGCACATCCGCACATGCCTTGATGCACATAAAATTTATTCTGCACATGGATGGAAAACAGTAGCAGGAACATTGGTCGAGGCCCCTGAGCAAGGGGTCGCGACTCCCCAGTGCATGTCACTGTAGCGAAAGAACAGTGCCATAAGCAGGGCTTCCTCCAGCTGGGGTCCCTGCACCAGAGGGCGAGGGAAAATGGGAGGGTCTCCAGCTCCTCCTGCATCGTAATTAGCATGCCAGGGGCAGAAGGGAGGTGGTAGCAGATGTGCATGGTAATGAGGCACTAACGGGGAAGCTATGCGTCATTAGCCGGCGAAGATAGGAGGGTGAAGGCAGAGCAACCGGACACAGGCCAAGCACCTTGCTGCTCTATGCTGCAGCCTGAGTTGCAATTAGGGCAGGATAGAAAAAAAGGGAGGGGAGGGGAGGGGTGTTTTCCTGGCAAGAAGTAGCACAATAACCAGGGCTCACTCCATGCAAAACTTTTCGGGAGTTTGTCACCAACCTGCTTGGAAGTGGAACATTTTCATTCTGCCCCAAGCCAGCTAGAAACCATTGTGCATTTCGGATCCCCTTTGCCCCTGTCTGATTCTAGACCTCCTCTTCCTTCGTCAGGGGAAAAAGGAAGAGTGGAGGGGAGGGGGCGGGGAACACGCAAACATTTTTATTTTGCGGCCACGCACAAGGGCCCTATTGCATCGGCAATTGTACCTCACACCAAAGGTGGCTTTTTTTAACCAGGAGTTTTCTTGCATTTGCGTAGCCGCATGTCATGGGAAATAAGAAAAGCGTTGCTGAAAAGCGTGCAGCCCGCTGTGGCCGCCAGGTGCTGGATTAGGCCAGGTCACACACTCGCCGTTGCGGCCTGCTCTCTCTATGCCTTCTAATGCCGGAGCACGAAGCCGCCTTTCGCAGAGCGCTGCCACGCCCGGAGAGCAGGCCAGGAAATGGTGTGGGCAGAACTAGCTGGTTCGGAGATCCCGGCAGGCGCCGGCCCTCGGGTCTCCTGCCATAAGAAAAGGGGGCAGAGCAGCTGGGTAAGGCCGAGCTTTTCAGAAGCAATTTGGCAGACTGGATGCTCGGTTTGGTGCCGCTCTGCAGTCAGACAGCGGTAGGAGTCAGGCTGCTTCGTGTCGCCTCCCGTGGGCCCTTGGCAGCCCAGCGCCCACAAGGACTAGCCACGTAAAAATCCTCACAAGCTTTTCCAAGGCCCGGCCCACACCTTTGAGCTCCCCAGGCAAAGCTTGGTAGTACCAGCAGCCTTGGGGGGGGGGGAGGGGGGAGCTCCCCAACCATTGCATCCCCTCTTGCTGGAAGGGGAAGCAGATTTCTCTTCCCCTGACACAGCCCAAGCCTCCTCTTTGGGGAGAAAAATCATTTTTTCTCAATAGCTGAATCACTCTCAATCCCCCCCCCCCCAATCTCCCTGGCTGAGTGACCTCTGCCTGCGCAGCCTCCCAGAACAGCACCTGGCCTTTGGTGCCGCAGCAGCTCCTATCCTCCGCTCAACGCTTTAGCCTGGGGAAGGGACGCGCCTCAGCTCTGCCTGGCTCTGAAAGCTCCAGCCTTCAACTGGACAAACCGGCAGCAGCTGCTCATGTTTAAACCCGGGACTCAGCACTGGGCAGGTCTAGACAGGGGGCTTGATCCAGGGAGGTGTTCAGTGGCTGCAGTGCCCGTTAACGGAGGCACTTAGCGCCACTTGGGATCCGGTCCAGAGACTTTCAGCTTGACAGCCAGGTGTCTTGGTTCTGGGCAGACTCACACAGCTCCTGGCAGCTGGGGCTTGGAGGGAGACCAGAGGGGGAAGGGATCCAGGGATAAAACAACAAACCCAGTCCTCCCATGCAACCCACCGTCTACCTGGGGAACTCCTTGCCAGAGGATGTGGTGAAGACTAGGACTTAAGCAGGGTTCAAAAAAGAGCCAGATAAATTCATGGAGGACAGGTCCATCACTGGTGCCCCTAGTCTCTGTTTGCCAGAAGCTGGCACAGAGGATTCCCTGTTCTGTCCCCCCCTCCGGGCACCTGGCAGTGGCGACCGTGGGAGGACAGGACTCTGGGCTGGATGGACCTTTGGTCTGGCCCCGTCTGGCCGCTCTTCTGCGCATATTTTCTCCCAGGATCGCTCCCCCAGGGGCCCCTTCTGCGCCTGTGCGACCCCCCTAGTCTCTGTTTGCCAGAAGCTGGCACAGAGGATTCCCTGTTCTGTCCCCCCCTCCGGGCACCTGGCAGTGGCGACCGTGGGAGGACAGGACTCTGGGCTGGATGGACCTTTGGTCTGGCCCCGTCTGGCCGCTCTTCTGCGCATATTTTCTCCCAGGATCGCTCCCCCAGGGGCCCCTTCTGCGCCTGTGCGACCCCCTCTTTTAAAGTTCAGGGCATTTCTTACGCCTCCCTCGCGGTGCTAGTGATGCTCTCCCCACGCGGGGCCCAGCCCCCCCCC